ACAGTTATTGCCCTTTGTTACTTTTTTGTCCTGTGCATAACTTGAAAACTGGTAGTTGGAATTCAATACAACTTCATACAATGGTCAAGCACAATGAGAGGAAGTGCAGTGTACAATAACCATAACTTCATAATCTTCAGTATTGTAGAGTTATTGCCCTTTGTTCCTTTTTCTTGTCTCTCTGGACTTATTACAGAGTAAATCAATAAAATTTCATCAATGGCCAACCACATTGAAAGGAAATGCAACATACAAGAACCACAACTATCTTTATTTGCCCACAACTATAACTCTATTTCAATTCTTTTACAAGGTATTCTGTAACTAGTAACATCCTCATTTCCGAAGCTGTCTTGCAGGGGTATATATCACATTTAGTGATAGTTCTAGTTATTTTTTAAGTTATTGCCCTTTGTTAATTTTCATTTTTGTCCAGGCCATTTCTCCTAAACTATATTGTTCACAAGGCGACACATCCGACTCGCAGAGTTCTAGTTATAATACTAATAACAAATAATAATAATAATATTAATTAATAATATAGTAATTTCTTAGAAAACCTTCTGGCAAATAGGTGATCAATAAATAAATAACCCTCTGGCAGCAAAAGGGTTAATAGCTGCATGCCTCCAGATGAGCCAAAATACTTAGACAAGAGGGCCATGATGGCCCTGAGGTCGCTCACCTGTATATAGGCCCCCAGAGCGGGGCCAGTTTAAACCCCAGGGCTTTTATTTGAACAAACTTGGTAGACACCCATTAGAAGATGTTTCATGCTGAATATCTTAGCTCTAGCTCTTTGAGTTCTTTCAAAGAAGATTTTGTAAGTTTTTACTATATGCATAAAGGGAAAATCAATGACCCCCTGGGGCGGGGCCAATTTTGACCCCAGGGCTTTTATTTGAACAAACTTGGTAGACACTCATTAGAAGATGTTTCATGCTGAATATCTTAGCGCTAGCTCTTTGGGTTCTTTCAAAGAAGAATTTTTAAGTTTTTTACTATATGCATATAGGGAAAATCAATGACCCCCTGGGGCGGGGCCAATTTTGACCCCAGGTCTTTTATTTGAACAAACTTGGTAGACACTCACTAGAAGATGTTTCATGCTAAATATCTAAACTCTAGCTATTTAGGTTTTTTCAAAGAAGTTTTTACTATATGCATATAGGGAAAATCAAGACCCACGGGGCGGGGCCAATTTTGACCCCAGGGCTTTTATTTGAACAAACTTTGTAGACACTCACTAGAAGATGTTTCATGCTTAATATCTAAACTCTAGCTATTTGGGTTTTTTCAAAGAAGATTATTTAAGTTTTTGCTATACACATATAAGGAAAATCAATGACCCCCGGGGCGGGGCCAATTTTGACCCCAGGGCTTTTATTTGAACAAACTCGTAGACACCCATTAGAAGAAGTTTCATGCTGAATATCTTAGCTCTAGCTCTTTGAGTTCTTTCAAAGAAGAATTTGTAAGTTTTTACTATATGCATATAGGGAAAATCAATGACCCCCTGGGGTGGGGCCATTTTTGATCCCAGGGCTTTTATTTGAACAAACTTGGTACACACTCATTAGAAGATGTTTCATGCTGAATATCTTAGCTCTAGCTCTTTGGGTTCTTTAAAAGAAGAATTTTTAAGTTTTTACTATATGCATATAGGGAAAATCAATGACCCCCTGGGGCGAGGCCAATTTTGACCCCAGGGATTTTATTTGAACAAACTTGGTAGACACTCACTAGAAGATGTTTCATGCCAAATATCTAAGCTCTAGCTCTTAGGGTTTTTAGCTCACCTTGCACAAAGTGCAGGTGAGCTTTTAGGATGGCCAACCAAATGGCGTCCGTCGTCTGTCGTCCGTCCACATTTTAGGTTTTTTCAAAGAAGATTTTTAAAGTTTTTACTATATGCATATAGGGAAAATCAAGACCAACGGGGCGGGGCCAATTTTGACCCCAGGGCTTTTATTTGAACAAACTTTGTAGACACTCACTAGAAGATGTTTCATGCTTAATATCTAAACTCTAGCTATTTGGGTTTTTTCAAAGAAGATTATTTAAGTTTTTGCTATACACATATAAGGAAAATCAATGACCCCCGGGGCGGGGCCAATTTTGACCCCAGGGCTTTTATTTGAACAAACTTCGTAGACACCCATTAGAAGATGTTTCATGCTGAATATCTTAGCTCTAGCTCTTTGAGTTCTTTCAAAGAAGATTTTGTAAGTTTTTACTATATGCATATAGGGAAAATCAATGACCCCCTGGGGTGGGGCCATTTTTGATCCCAGGGCTTTTATTTGAACAAACTTGGTACACACTCATTAGAAGATGTTTCATGCTGAATATCTTAGCTCTAGCTCTTTGGGTTCTTTAAAAGAAGAATTTTTAAGTTTTTACTATATGCATATAGGGAAAATCAATGACCCCCTGGGGCGAGGCCAATTTTGACCCCAGGGATTTTATTTGAACAAACTTGGTAGACACTCACTAGAAGATGTTGATGCCAAATATCTAAGCTCTAGCTCTTAGGGTTTTTAGCTCACCTTGCACAAAGTGCAGGTGAGCTTTTAGGATGGCCAACCAAATGGCGTCCGTCGTCTGTCGTCCGTCCACATTTTAAATATTCTAAGGACATCTTCTATGATACCGCAAGGCCAATGTTAATGAAACTTGGCAGGAATACTCTTTGTATGAAGCTCTATCAAGATTGTTCAAAGAATTCCATTTCATGCAGAACTCTGGTTGCCATGGCAACCGAAAGAAAAATCTTTAAATATCTTCTTTTAAAGAACCGTATTAGCTAGAGCTTAGATATTTGGCATGAAACATCTTCTAATGAGTGTCTACCAAGTTTGTTCAAATAAAAGCCCTAGGGTCAAAATTGGCCCCGCCCCAGGGGGTCATTGATTTTCCCTATATGCATATAGTAAAAACTTAAAAATCTTCTTTTAAAGAACCCAAAGAGCTAGAGCAAAGATATTTGGCATGAAACATCTTCTAGTGAGTGTCTACCAAGTTTGTTCAAATAAAAGCCCTGGGGTCAAAATTGGCCCCGGCCCGGGGGGTCATTGATTTTCCCTATATGCATATAGTAAAAACTTAAAAAATCTTCTTTTAAAGAACTGTAAAAGCTAGAGCTTAGATATTTGGCATGAAACATCTTCTAGTGAATGTCTACCAAGTTTGTTCAATAAAAGCCCTGGGGTCAAAATTGGTCCCGCCCCAGGGGGTCATTGATTTTCCCTATATGCATATAGTAAAAACTTAAAAATTCTTCTTTTAAAGAACCCAAAGAGCTAGAGCTAAGATATTTAGCATGAAACATCTTCTAATGAGTGTCTACCAAGTTTGTTCAAATAAAAGCCCTGAGGTCAAAATTGGCCCTGCCCCAGGGGGTCATAGATTTTCCCTATATGCATATAGTAAAAACTTAAAAAATCTTCTTTTAAAGAACCGTAAGAGCTAGAGCTTAGATATTTGGCATGAAACATCTTCTAGTGAATGTCTACCAAGTTTGTTCAAATAAAAGCCCTGGGGTCAAAATTGGCCCAGCCCCAGGGGGTCATTGATTTTCCCTATATGCATATAGTAAAAACTTAAAAAATCTTCTTTTAAAGAACTCAAAGAGCTAGAGCTAAGATATTTAGCATGAAACATGTTCTAATGGGTGTCTACCAAGTATGTTCAAATAAAAGCCCTGGGGTCAAAACTGGCCCTGCCCCGGGGGTCATTGATTTTCCTTATATGTGTAAAGCAAAAACTTAAAATCTTCTTTGAAAAAACCCAAATAGCTTGAGTTTAGATATTATACATGAAACATCTTTAAGTAAATATCTACAAAGTTTGTTCAAATAAAAGCCGGGGGTCAAAACTGGCCCTGCCCCAGGGGTGTCATTGTTTTTAACTATATGTGTATAGTAAAAACTTAAAAATCTTCTTTAAAAAAACCCAATGAGCTAGAACTTAGATGTTTAGCATGAAACATCTTCTTATGGGTGTCTACCAAGTCTGTTCAATAAAAGCCCTTGGGTAAAAATTGACCCGGGGGGGGGGGGGGGGGGGGCTATATACAGGTGAGCGACCTCAGGGCCATCATGGCCCTCTTGTTTAAAAGAAGATATTTTAAGTTTTTTCTTTCGGTTGCCATGGCAACCAGAGTTCTGCATGGAATTAAATTCTTTGAACAGTTTTTAAAGATGACCACCAAAGGAACATTCCTGTGAAGTTTGGATGAAATTGGCTTAGTGGTTTATGAGGAGATGTCATTTAAAGTAAAGGTTTACGGACGGACGGACGACGGACGAAAAGCGATCACAAAAGCTCACCCTGTCACTTTGTGAGAGGTGAGCTAAAAATCAAACTTAGAAAAAAGTACTATGATATAAAGAAAAGTAAACAAAAAAAGTTAAGGTAAAAGTATAAAGAAGTAACTTAAGTATTAATTGCCAGGTTATGTGTGATTTGTGACTGATTTTGCAGTATTATTACCATATTTTGCATTACTAATAGTTTTTGCATATGTTGGGTTGAAAGTGCTGTTTGCAATGGGGAAATTATTTCTTTATTCATAATATTTTATCTTTTAAAACACATTCATGAATCTGGAGGCTTGCTGCTTTAAAAGAGGCTCACTTGTACCTTTTTGCATTGGTCACAAATTAACATTGATAGATCGAGTTACTTGAAATGTACTGAAATAAAGCAGATGGTGTCAAAAGTGATATCTGCCGCAGAAAATTATGCTTGACAGTACAATCTCGATAGAGTGTTGGATTCCAAAATTTAAATGATTTAAATGAATTGTACAATTAATTCAGATAAAAAATCCATGTAGGTGTGACACAGATATCACCTGAACATGATATTTTTGGAGCGACCTCTTTAAGTGAATATTTTAAAGTAACTGGCATTTATGTACAGGAACGACTGGCATCCCCGCATTTTCAAACTTCTTATGCATTTATGAAGGAAAAAAACAGTGAACAACAACAAAATGAGTTTAATTCATTTATGTTAAAACCTATGACAGTTGATAAGATTTAATCAATATTGGTAGAATTTCTAACAATTTATTGTAATGATTACTAGTCCCAAATAAATGTTGGCAAATAGCTTTAACTCACCAATTCACAAAGTTTCATTTTACAGTGGAAAACAACCTGATTTTTCCTCATCACGATGACTAAAGTATATTAAATTCAATAAAGATAATGTGAATTCACATAATTTTGTGGGCATGAAATTTCTTCATGGTTTTGTCACAAAGGATATTTCCTGGGTTCATAAATTTGTGGACTGTCCATTAATGCAAAAAATAGTAAAATGCAGATGATGTAATGCAAAATAATGTTCGAACAGACAAAATGAAATTTTGATGGATCTTATTTTTGTAGATTGACCTAATGGTGTACGCAGAAAACAACGAACATAAAAGCAGCACAAATCATAATGATTTTTCAGTACAAAGTTTATCTTTTAAATACAATGACAAATGTTCTCAAATAGTTGCACTAATTAGAAGCACATAAAGTCTCAATGTCCACGAGTAAACCATTTTCATCTTCTATCTGGAAGACCTATATTTGATGTTGTTTGTTCAAGGTATGCTAGAGGTCCTTGTGGATAAGAGGGTGGGGCTTGAGGTCTCGGCCCTATGGACACGACCGGGTGAGATTGCATTGGTGGTGGTGGTCCCGGCAGTGACTGTGAGTGTATTGATCCGGAATAGCCCTGGTATTGGGCAAGTGCCGGGGCCTGTGACGGTATCTGCTGTATGTGATGAGATGAATAATGCGGAAGTGACCCCGACTGTGCCATGTGGGGCTGCTGTTGGGGCACTGTATGTGACTGGGGTAACTGTAAATTTGGCTGGGTAGAGACTGGATGTGATTGCTGAACCGGTTGCCCTGCAGGTGTGACACCCTGTTGCTGTAGAATTATCTGACATCGTTTCAGCCTCTCTGTGTGCTTTTCTAACAAAGCTTCTTTCCTGGCCAATTCACCTTTCAGATTTTCTATATCCTGCAATAGATTTATCAGTTCACATTAAACTAGAATAATTAATGAATAGGATTCATACACTCCAATTAATATGACAGTTAACAATTTTTCTAATACTTGACCATGAGACTTCAAACTTTATCCAATGTTAGATGGTTTTATCTTCTGAGTATGAGTCATTGGTCTATAAATATAGGCTGTAAAAGCAACAGTAAAAATCTCTTTTAAGCACCAATGACCTTGACCACTGTGACCCTGAACTCAATCCAAAGTTAGAGGAACAACAAATATACATGTTTTTTGTATCTATTACCAAATATGGAAGATATCATTACTAGGAGAAATTTTAGATATATATCAATTTTGCTGGAATCGGTAAGTCAAATTTTCGAAGTGATAAAAAGAGAAATAACTGGTGAAACATGGATGCCACAGTTATGTAACTTGCCATCATGTACTTCATACTGATAAGTGTGGTATAAATAAAACTATATCCGGCTTGCTGGGATAGCTTAAGCATTCATGTCCTTTTTTCTTATATGTCCTAAAAGGGAAATAACTGGGGGGAAAAATGGAAGCCACAGTTATGTAACTTGCCAAATTATTCATGGACTTTCTACTTGTGTTACAGTGTAAATTATGAACTTAAAAATATTCAACTTGCCTTTAGAAAGATGGGCATGCTGATAAAACAGTTGAATTACTATATCTTCAGGGACAAAAACAAACTAGACTATGTACATTATATACAGAAAACAACTGTATCAGAGAACTACATGTATATGTATACAAATATGTTCTGGTCATGCTTTAAGAAATTCACCTTTATTACTTATTTTAAAACAGATCATTAATTGCTGAAGTATTTTTTAAGAAATTCAGCAACTTATACATTGTGGAAAGGGTCTAAATATAGTATACAATGTACAATAACATGTATAAATGAGCCGCGTCACAACAAAACCAACATAATGGGTTTGCGACCAGCATGGATCCAGACCAGCCTGCGCATTCGCGCAGTCTGATCAGGATCCATGCTGTTCGCTATCAGTTTCTCTACTTGTTATAGGGTTTGTAAGTGAACAGCAAGGATCCTGATCAGACTGCGCGGATGCGCAGGCTGGTCTGGATCCATGCTGGTCGCAAATGCACTATGTTGGTTTTGTTGTGACGCGGCTCAAATATCTTACATCCACTAATTGCTGTTCTGGCTTCTGGTAAGAGACTAGCATTCTTTTTCTCAGGAACAAAGCCTCTGTCTGCCGAGACAACTCCAGGAATTTCTGCATGGCATTTTCTATACCTACAATTAACAGACAGAAATTTCATAACATAACATTTAACAGACAGAAATTTCATAACATAACATTTCACATAACATATGACTGTGCAGGTCCCCAATAGTGATAACATACATTGTATTGAACCGCTCTTCAAAACATAAAAGGCATATACAATTTCTCATATGATACCATTCCTCATAACATATGACACCATTTCTCATAATAAATATATATGTGTGTGTGATAAATAAAATATTATATTCTTGTAGATTCAATACTACATGTAAATTTATTGAACTCGTTGAATAAAACAATATGCGCGCCAGAGGCTCGCATATGATTTTATTCAAATCGTCAGTGTCTATTCTAGGATTCCAAAAATGCGGAATTTGTATCGAAAAGTGAGAATTTATTACATTTGTTGATCTTTTTCCTTTCTCTAGGTAAAATTTCCCCCCTGCCTCTGAAAAAATAGGGGGGGAATTCTAAAAAAATGAGTGAATCCCCCCCCCCATCCCCCCTACTAGAATAGACACTGAACTTGTTCAATAAATTTAGTATTAAACCCACACCAATTAAATATCTCTTATATGATACCATTCCTCATAACATATGATACCATTCCTCATAACATATCACTGCACTGTTTCCCCATAACATACTGCAGAGATCTGCCAAGAATTTGAAAGTACTGGGCCCTGGGCCCACTTGGTCTGAAAATGATGGGCCATTTTTACCAAAGTATGGGCCTTGGGAAAATAAGTAAACATTGACCAAAATAACTGTTAAAAAGTTTGTAGATAATTGAATTGCCCCGGTAATAAAACTTAAATCATATTTTATGACAAGTGGTTCACTTATAATTCAGTACTTTACCAATAATTAAAAATTATGCCTACATGGTAACTTTCTAACTAATATTAATTGCAGGCAAAAATGAAAATATTTTTTAAATGGCTGCTCAAAAAAAATTGCTGGTTCTTACTTGTAATGTCTTATATTGTGCATTATCCATTTATTTGTTCCTACTTTGCACCAAATGTCCCTAACCACTGTATATTTTATTGCCCCTTGTATGCCTCTGTGTAGACAGCATACATCAAAGACATTTGCCGACAGACCTTTTGATCATGAAAAAAGTCATGCACAATGTTTCTCTGATTGGTTAATCACCCTGTCAAACATTCTGATGACGAAATATACATCTTTTTTTACACTTCATCAGCCAAAACTTGCGTGAACTTGAGTGACCTTAGTGTTTATCAAGTTGAACACCTGTCAGATTATACTGTAACTTACAGCATTTCTTAAAATAGCAACACTTTTTTTTCAGTTACCGATAATCATTTTAAATATTAAGTAGTTGTATAATTTGTTTGTTTGTTTTATTGGATTAAATTTACGGTAGTAGAAATGAGTATATGTGTGGGAAAGGGATTATGAGAAGAAATGCGGTAAGTAGATAACACGGACAAAAGCTATAGGGGAATGGATAAACTAAAGAGTATGCGTAATTACAGAAGCTTGGGTAACATGTTGCTGTTGGTACCAGTTTTGACTGGATGACTAAATAACCCAGCAGACAGTTTTGTTTTCTTATAAGTCTGGCACAGATTTTAGATGCGCCCATGGCCCTTTGCTGCCGATTTTCCTGCGCCATTCTCATTTTTTTAGCGCCAATGGCGCAAAATCGCGTCCTCGGCAGATCTCTGCATACTGAATTGCTCTTCAAAACATAATTTGAAGTAACAAGGCACACCATAAAACATACAAACAACAGATACAAGATGTATGAATTGAAAAAAAAGCCATGCCAAAAAAAAACACATTATATCCTCATATACTTTTGTCTAGATTGAAAGATGGACAAGTCCATTTAATAAGATATCTAGCCGGGTCCTGGTTATAATATTGATTTTACATTTAATTCTTACTTGTTTTTGTTTCTTCAGAGTCCTGGACATTGATCTGCTCCTGGGTGGTAAGGAGTGACAAACAGTTCTGTAAAGAGAAAAAAAAACATGAAAAATAACTCAATGTTAGTAACATTCTAGGAGAATAATGCTCAATTTTAAAGAAATTTCCTGTAATGAAGAAGATTTATTCATTTAAACAGCCCTAAAAAACACCCAAAAATACTTGTCGCTATACCATGCCATTTAGGTGAATTCCCCAGAACTAACGTCTGGAATGTAGGCTACAGGAAGTACCAGGAAAGGGTGTTTGTCAAGGTTCTTGAATTCGTGAACAGCTGGTGAATGTATAAATATGTGAATTTTTTCTGTAAGTTGAGATATAATACGGGGAAGTCAAAGACTGGGTCTGCGAAGCGGGCCTGAACGTTTGATTGCCGGCTATATACAACACATGTATATTTAAAAGGAAATCAAATAAAACAACAATTAAGACATATACAGATTTCTATCGCTATCGGTGAAATTTGATAGTGTCATATCTAGTTGGCCGCAGTTATTTTCAATTAGGCGGGGTATTCCGATAACTGGATAGCTGAACAATCACAACTTTTCGGCTCAATAATAATTGAGGTGTTACAAGTGAAAACGGTAGTGGTGCTGAAATACCAAATGACACCTTTAACTGTTTAAAAAGGAAAATGTAAAATAAAAAGTGAAAGATTTTTTAAACCAACTTCCCCATTCATAGATTTGATAGCCTAGTACTATTTATTACTTATGTATTTAAATCATGTTTCTGGGGTCAAAACTGGACCCGCTCTGACTAGAGTCAATTAACGTAGCAGGGCTCGCGCTGGCAGGAGCCAATCAGCAAATTGGCTCCAGAATAATTTAATTGGCTCAAGAAAATCACGATTGGCTCGAACTTACGAAAAGTATGACTTTTGGAATCTCCAGTCTAAATTTAGCATTTTCTATTTTAAGAATGGAAAAGTACACATTTGGTTTTCCATCTGCAACTTCCGTTTTATCACTTCTTATCTCAAAACACAGCGACACAGTCTACTTTTTTTTTTGTGGGTCATTGACAGGTCTATATTTGTAACTTCCCTTCTGAATGAAATATTGATACGAACAGTAACACAGTCTAATACACTGACCTCGCGGTATGTTAACATGTTTATCAACTGATAAATATGCGGTACAAGTCAACCCGGCCCCAAGTCAACCCGGCCGCAAGTCAGCCCGGCCCCAAATTGGTCAACCCGGCCCCAAACCAATGTTATTTCTGGTCAACCCGGCCCCATTTTTTTATTATCTATTTTGCTTTAAAATATAAACACTTATCAAGAAATGATAGAAATACGATAGAAGTATTAAGAAAAAACTAAACTTTTTTTATTGACATATCATGGAAAAGAAACCTTAATGTGTTCAAATCATTACTTTGTTATTGTATGTAAAAAAAAGAGAATTAAATGGCCAAAAGTGTTTCCATGAACATTTTTATGCCAGTTCATGTTGTTTTTTTACTATTGTTCTTTAGTTAATATTCTAACACTATCGGAAATTTGCCTATACAGTAGAGACAAAGCGTGCATTATTCTACAACAATGCACTCGCCGTTCTTATCATCTCCCTGTGTATTTTCACATTGAGGGCGCCAAAAGTCTGATAAATAAAAACAATTTTTTGTCGAATTTTTTTGTGAAAACTATCTAGAATGAAAGAAAATGGTCTAACTAAGAAAATTAATCCGAACACCAATATCTTTAATTCAGTCGTTAGTTTAAAGTGTTGTTTACGTGACGTCACAATGTAGCGCCAAACAGCGCGTGCAAAACAATCAAATCAAGTACGCTATTTTAATGTCGCAAACGAGTTAAGTTTTACATTTATTTCACTTTTAATAATTTGTATTTCGCTTGAAAAATTATAGAGTGAAATAAAATAAACAAAAAAAGTTTTATCAACGTTTTTAAAATTCGTTATTCTCAAAATGTTTCTACACACGGTAGATTTAACGACAGTTTTTTTTTCAACCCACTGGAACAGCCTTTAAAGAACGTTTCTATTGGAAACTCTGAGACGAAAACAAAATAAACCACCAAACATATAAAGTCCAACTTTAAAATAATAATTATATTTTTTCTTGACGTGTTAGAATGGAAATAGATATAAATTCTTCGTGCATTATTGTATAATAATGCCATTCGGAACTGCTTCGGCTATTATCTATAATAACGTCCTTATCCGAAGACTGACGGAAAGGGCCGAGTAGTTGCAATTGTATATAATAATGCACGGTTTTCGGCCTTCGTGATTATATTACTACGCATTTGAACTCAAACCATGCATTATTCTACAACAATGCACTCAGAATTGATATCTATTTCCTAAATATTCAATTAATAATAAACCATTTTTATTCCATCATACAACAAAATGACCTGAATAGTTTTCTTTGAAAATATATTTTTTGGGGCCGGAATGACCGATTTTGGGGCCGGAATGACCAATTTTGGAGCCGCATTGACCAAATAAAAACACTGTGGGGCCGGATTGACCAATTTTGGGGCCGGCTTGACCAATTTTGAGGCCGGGTTGACTTGGGGCCGGGTTAACTTGGGGCCGGGTTGACTGTAATTCATAAATATGACACTAATTGGTGTGAAAAAACCTGGCAAATTGTTGAATATGTACTGGATAATTGGTCTTAATATTCAATATGAAACAATAACTAGAGGCATCTCAAGATTATCGCTAATCAAATCAGCAGTTGTGTATAAAATTGCGACAAATTATGTTCTGCAGTTGGCCACTTAACCAGTAAATTTTATTGTTGTTGTTAAACATATCAAAGGAATTCCAAGTTGGTTTTTTTTTTTTTGGGGGGGGGGGGGGGGGGTTATGGTCAATTAAATTTGACTTAATTATGACTCAAAAAACATAAAATTGGGGAGGAATTAATTTGACATTTGAAGCTTTACAGAGTATTCTTGAAAATAATTGACCTTATTGTCATTTTCATGTAAAGGGAACCTTGCAGCCTAACTTTTGACAAATGCTATAATTACTGACCTCAAGGCTTTTATATGATTACTGACTGTAAATTATATATGTAAGATTTGTTAATTTGATAAAAATGTAGCTACCAAAATAAAGTTGGATATAGTTTATGTTTTTCTAAATATCTCATGCCGTACCATTGCCTGATTTGAAAATAAAATACAGGCAGGCAATTTTCGCCGTGAAAAATTGGCTCAAAGAAAAAATTTGCCAGCGCTAGCCCTGCGTAGTGTGGATATACAGATCTATATAGGCCTAATTACAGTCTAGTTCAGTCATGTCCGAAATCTGTTCAGTTTAAGGAGAAATTATGCATACAATTAACTTGCAAGAAAGTACAAAAGCAGAAAATATGAATTGATTACAATTTCAAAAAACAAATATATTACTAAAAAAGATGACTCTAATTCATCTATGATGTTTGAATTCTGTCCAATCTTTTCAAACTCAAAGGGCGCAGCCATTTTGGAGCAATTCTAAACTGCTAACGAAGTAGCTGACAATATTGAATATGTGAGAAAATGTTAACGTAAACTGCTGCGAAAGTGTTAATTAAGTTGCCTTGGGTTTAATTTAAAAAATGATAATAATAATAATAGAAAACGCCGGGAAATAAATTTTATTTTTGTAAATCTTTTTTCTTGTTTTTCTTCTCTTTTTTATTGCACACTGAAAAACTACAATAGTTGTTATGTTGACATTGAACAGATGTAAAAATGTTTCAACAATTGTTTATATAAATTATTCAGAGACATAGATAACATCTCTGATGTATTGCTCATATAAAATGACAAACAAATTATATTTATAGATTATATTACATATTTACAAAAATATTTCTTGTAATTGAAAATCATGTAAATTTTGAACCTGGGAGAAAAAAAGTATTTTTTTTCCCTATATTTAAACAGTCTGTATGAAAACAAGATTCTGTATATATACTTAATTTGGACAGAAGTACACCCCCCCCCCCTTTTAATACATCTAAAGACAGCTCATTAAAATTAATACCCGACTCAATTGAGTTCAAGCTGTGAACAAAATAACAAAATATCTAATGGTCAGCACTCTGACTAAGTTTAACTGGTCTGCTGATTCTACCTTACGTTTATAATGTTTAACTAGTCGGCAGTTTTTTTTTTACAAAAGATGTTATAAGTACATGTACGTTAATTGTGCTGACCATATATAGTACAAGAAGAAAAATAAGACTTACATTTATATTACATTTTAATTGGTCTGCAGTAGTTTTATTGTTTTTGCAAAATGTAAAATTTATTACATTTACTAAGTAACATTATTAATAATAAGAAATTAAAAGCAAAATTTCACATTTCCCTATATATCTAACTGGTCGGCAATTTTTAATGGACGTAAAACTGGTCGGAAAAAGAAGAAAATTATGGCTAAAAAACACACGCACATTGATAATATATATCAAACTGACCGGCATATAATTTATAATATATCTTAACTGGCCAGCTATATGGAACATATCTCCGTCGTCTGTCTGTTCGTTTATCGGTTCAAGCAACATACCTAGTATACCCTTTCTCGTCGTCCCTGTCACAACTACATGTATAAGGGCCGCTCCCCTTAGCTACAGTCAGGACATTGGCAGCTGATGATTTGTTGTCATAAATTGACGTGTTGCAGGCATGGATCCATCAGTGGGGTTTAAGGGATTGAAGTCCAGGCCTTTTCTTTCAAAAAGGCACATAATTTTTAAAGAGTTTAATGTCAACAAAAAAGTGGCATAATCAAGATAAATTTTGCCAATAAATCCTTGTTTATTTAAAGAAAACAGACATAATATTAATTATAGTATAGGTAAATTTTCTATAATTCATCTTTAGATAATAATAATAATAAATGTTTCAAATGTGATTTAAACAATTTAAGACTTGAAAAATTGCTTATTTTTAAAGTTAGATAATAATAAATATTTGAAATGTGATTTAAACAATTTAAGGCTTGAAAAATTTCTTATTTTTAAAGGAATAGTGTTCCATAACTCCATACTAGAATAATGAAATGTACGTTTCAAATAATTTGTTTTAAGTCGTTTATCATAATGTCTTTTTTATGTTTTGATCTTAGTAAGTTAGTTTTATTTTGAGATAACGGAATTAGATTAGAAATATATGCTGGTGTTAATTTATTCCTCGCTTTATATACCATAATTCCAGAAAATACGAAGCATTACATGATTTTATCAACTTCAGTGTCCCGTAAATTCGTTATACACAGTTGATGTATATTCTATAATCTATATACATTCTTTTGTCATATATACAACTGATATTTTCAAATTATATATCTATATTTAGGCTAAAAGTAAATTGGTCCATCATGGAATGTCTACAATAACATAGATTATTATGTTGATAGCATTAAGTAATAAAATAAACATTATGTACAACATACGATAGAATGATATGGACGTTTATTGGTAAGTTTGAGGTACATGATCCAATATTACAAATTGTTCTATCAATCATCATATTAATCACCTAGAATCTATCATTATTATTTTTTTCATGATTTTTTTATATGAATATCGAAATAATGCATTTTTTTTAATCAAAATTATATGATATGATTAAGGTTATTCAAACCTGTAGTTACTATTGTGGAGTAACTATTAGCAATGTAAGAGAAATATTTATATTTTATTTGAATCGGGAAATCTGGCATTTTGTACAAAACACAACAATTAACTTTTATGTAAATTTACAAATTTACGGAATCATTAAAGGGAAAGACAAGGTTAGAATAAAAACTTGATTTCTGAAAAAGAATACTATAAATAATAAGTCTGCAAATTTTCTGCCGCCAAATAATAATATTAAACGAATGATAACAAAATTTAAATCGCTAAATCACCGATTTCTACAAATCAGTAAGCGCGGCCATGTTTGTGTATTGACCGTATAAAAACAGGTGCGCGTGATGTCATTTCCCCACATCTTTAGATTCATGATAAATCTAGTTGAATCGTAAGGAAATATTAATTAATGACCAGACAATTTAATTTTCACAGGAGGTGTAGAGGAGATTTTTATGGCTCAAAATACGTAACAATATCAAAAAAAATAAATAAATAAAAAATAAATAAACGTACGGCTAGCCAAAAGTTCTAGCCGTACGTGAGTCACGAACGACTAGCCAGGACGCACTGTACGTATTGTCTAGCCGTACGGCACTTTTCAAAATTATATGGAAGTCAAACGTTATAAAATTGTTGATTTTCATGCTTATCATTTGTTGTTTTATTTGTATGAATTATTAAATCATTTTTGTTAACTTTAAGCACATGGATCGAATAAAAAATGATCGGAGTGGAATAAATAAATAAAAAGAACAGTGAATGAAAAAAAACAAAAAAACGGTGAAATGCAAAAATAATTATATAATTTTCAAAACAGTAGATAAATATCGAACATAAAAGCACAGTCAATCAATTAATTAGCCTTGATTAAAACCTATCCAGGGACTGACAATAGAATTTTAGAATGCCTTTCACGGAACATGCAAACTTTCCTTGATGGACAAACTTCTATACAGTACCGTCGGTAATTGTCGCAATTATCAAGAGCCTAACAACAATCATTTTCAGTGTTTGTTGTTTTTTTTTTTTTTCATATAAAAGGTGTCGAAAATTAAACTTAATGAAACAAAAAAGGATTATTATCAAAATTTTGTAAACTATTTCAATTGGTGTAAATGCAAGCAAAGGCTATTTTTTTTTCTCGACATCTTGCGATGACAAAGATCGATATATATAGCGATCAAGGCGATTAATCTCTAAAAAGTTAACATCCAAAGACAATTAATGCTGTTTCTTGGTTAAAATCCTCGCTTAAAGTCATAAAATAACATATGCATTTTCGACTTCCATAAAATTTTGAAAAGTGCCGTACGGCTAGTCAATACAGCGTGTCCTTGCTAGTCGTACTCACGTACGGCTAAAACTTTTGGCTAGCCGTACGGGCACGTACGCTAGCCACTTCCATTATAAAAACCCTACTTAAACGTGTTCTTAATAGTACATATAATTTAATTTTTGCAGTTTGATTCTGACTTTCAAATTTAAAGGTGTGAACATATGTTATAATTGATGTACACATTTCAAAAATATAAGCAACTCTTTTGAAAAGTAAATTGTTAACATGTCTGTCAACGTATGATGCTGCGCATCGTAATCGTAGCCTAATATTAACTGCAGACAAATCATTTTTATTGGCTGCTCAAAAGTCTAATTTGCATAATTTATTCACACAATTGCTGGTTCTTACTACTTATGTCTATTACTGCGCATTGTCCATTTTAATTGTTCCTAATTTGCACCAAATGCTCCTGTCACACTGTGTACTGACGATTTTTATTGCTCCTTGTATGCCTCTGTGCCGACAAACCTTTTGATCATGCACAATGTTGCCCTGATTGGTTAATCACCCTTGTCAAATATTCTAATGACGAAATAGACATCTATTTTTTTACGCTTCATCAGTGAACTGAATGACCTTAAGGGGAATTAGGTTCCACACCTGTCAAATTATACTGTAGTAAATTACAGCACGTCATAAAATAGCAACACATTTTTTTCAGTTACCAATAATCATTTTAAATAATAAGTAGATTTATGATTTTTTTGTTTTATTGGATTAAATTTACGGTAGTAGAAATGCGTTTCTGTCGGGGAAAGGAATTTGGTATGTAGATATATATTGGATTTAGTTGATATTTTACCTGAAAAAAAAAGATACATGACCGGCGATGTACCCTATTTGGACAGCTTGTCTAGCGAAAATTAAGTACAAAATAAAAGGATATGTCGTCAATTTGAAGAAGTTTCTCATAGTACCCAAATTAAATTTATGGTTTATCTTTGAAAATTAAGCAGTCATTGCTTAAATCATGTGGTGGGATCATCAGCAAGCTTGAATATCGGAGTAATAATAATTAATGTCGCGGCGTCTTCAATTAATTAATTAAAGCAATTCAGTTCCATATGATGTTTTCATAAATAATATATAATGTACGCAATAAAATTAATAAGTTCTTCATCAAGATATATTTCAGTTGTACCAGCGTGTACACCGGAAGTGGGTATTACACGTCACAATCTCGGTCTCGTCTGTCTCGCGAGAATGACAGAACGCCAAAATGGCGGCGCCCATGAACTTATTTCTCAAGTAAAAAATAGTGTCTTAAAACACGAATTTCTCTCTTATAGGGTTGATGTCAATAGGAAAACTGTCATGGTTCCTCTTTTCAAATGATGAATATTTATATTAGACAGACATCAATCCATCCATTCCTATTCCTTTAAAATTAAAACGTACGCCAAAAATGTGTGGTGCACATTGGATGAATCTTTAAAGTCTTAAATTGTTTAAATCACATTTCAAACATTTATTATTATCTAGAGATGAATTATAGAAAATTTACCTATACTATAATATAATATTATGTCTGTCTTCTTTGTTGATTAAGATTTACTGAATGTTGTAATCTTTATAATTACTTGAATATGTCCCTTGTTATGTTTATGTTTTATTGAAGGCCTTGTTGAAAATAAGATTTTGCATTATATGTGTTGTATCTAATGCTTATTAAGTTACCTTCGTTAAATAAAGAGTTTATTATTATTATTATTATTATTATTATTATTATTATTATTATTATTATTATTATAATAATGTGATACTATTCGCAGGTCTCCAAACTCCTCACAGCGGTTACGTCACGCTTTGCTACTTTAACTGTTACTGTACTGATCAGGGGAAGTAACCGCTGCGGGGAGTTTGGCAGGTCTCTAGTAAATCCGGGTCAAAATAGACCGGGAGAGACCGGGATTTACCGACAGGAGACCGGAGAAAAGTACATCCCTGAATCTGGTATGAATTCTATCGCACGGGTAAAATCTAGTATCTCACTGGTTAGCATAAAATGAATTATCATATAAGACACGGTATTATCCTATATTGGACAGTTTTAAAAAGGACGTGTAACGTCGAAAGTGATCCTTATATGTTTACATTGTTCGCTAAATACGTCTTCTTTTAGACTATGCCTTTTGCTTTAGCCGATAGAGGTCGCTTTCTACAGTGAAAGCGGAAGTAACCTTTTAAACCGGTCATAATAATTGATTTTGCGCCTTTAATCGTTTATCTTGTTTTGTTGTTTTAGGAGTTCCACAATATATCAAAAAGGTCACATAGTCTGAAGTTAAGGAATGGCGAAACGGAAGGTAACGTCCCTTTTGGCATTGGTGTTAGTGATGATAGCGGAAACAAATTTATGAATATTTCTCCCCACCCACTACAGGCTAATAAAAAGAACAGTCAATAAATCTGTCTATCTTCCATTAATGTCAAACCCCTCGCGGTGACGTAGACATGACTGTAAACTAATCACCTTAGAGACAGCTATGATATACAAGGGGAATTATGGAACCAGTCCCTAGTTCTTATTCAAGTTATTGAAAAGACCCCTTGGTTCTTTTACATACCTAGTGGACTTTACACCTCCTGTTGGTCTTTACACCTCCTGGACAATTCGGCCTTGGTCTTTACACATCCTAGTTTTTATCTGGAATTTCAGTTCCATTGAAAATTTAAAAAGAATAATTGTGATAAACACCACTATATTTCGGTTGGGTCAGTGACCACCACACTCCTCCCCGTCCTATTTGAAAAGGCTGGCTGCCAGATAAGACCTTTCTAGTATCTAATCCAGCACTCAATACAAGCCTATTGAATGATTTCCTGGATCCTTACCAGTACTGGTACTGTACCCTGCTCTAGTACATGTACCAAATAGGTGATTATCATTAACCAATCACCTGAGCAGCTCAGCTATGACTTGATCAGCTGAGCAGCCCCACTAGGACTTACTCAATTACCTGAGCAGCCAACTATGCAGAATTCTACGACTCACTCAATCTCCTAAGCAGCCCACTATGCAGAATTCTACGACTCACTCAATCTCCTAAGCAGCCCACTATGCAGAATTCTACGACTCACTCAATCACCTGAGCAGCCCTCTGTATAATTTATTAGAATGAATTGTCACCAGTAACACCCAGAGAAAAATTAACCAACATAAGTCTCTAACAATCACCGACAAACATAGTAACCTCCTTCAGGTCTAATTGATTCACTGAAGACTTATCTCTTACTACTGTCAAAACACTCGAACCCACTCATGCACTGGTTCAAACTCAGATGCAAGGATATGCAGCCTATATCTAGAGACTACCGCAACACCTATCACATCTACCAGCTTGGCAGCATAAGCATCCTGAGGATTATACCCCAATCCTCAATATAAGACCTTATCTGGACAACAAATAATCCAGACTCACATTTATATTCAATGACCAACAAGAAGTAACCTTCACCCACAAGCTGTGAAACCACATTACAATAACCACACTGAATCATAAATCTCCAGTTTTATTGCTTACCTCCCAAAAAAGACAACACAATTCCTTTGATAACTCTTATAACTCTGACATTATTTCAAGAGCTAAACCTAACAGATAACATCATGACAATTACTACTTCAGTTCTGCAAGATGCTCATTCTATTTCTGCCATAAGAAATCCCCAACCACGCAATCCAATATTGTACTAACATTTGTAATGATCACTATTAATAGATGCCTGCATCCAAATAGATCCCATACAACTGTCATATAAATTGCTTGTCGGCCTAACAAGCAACCTACCAAATGACATTATAGGTCATCTAGCTTAGAAGAGACGGGAATTGCGTACTTGGTGACCCCCTACATAGCAGTGAACTTAACTGACCAGATGCAACTTGCTTGTCTATATGAGAGCTAACCTTCTCTTAATGGTGACTATACTGTTACCTAACATCTCAGTTCTGGGACTCATATTTCAGTAAATAACACCAGAATGGACTCTAGGGCCTTTTGAAACATAATCACCAATAAGCTCGCAACTCATTATTACTAAGATGATTCCTAGATAATGAGCTTACACTCCTGGGATTCATTCCCAAGGTTCCTTATTACCAAGACTGATTGTAATACACTCAATGACAGATGCGTTTCTAACCTGAAACCCGTAGATTTTGGTTCCTTCCCTGGCAGGCTTCCCAAGACCCTTAGTGACCCAAGTGATCTTTTACTTGCCAATAGCACCACATCTACATCGTCAATAAAGACAGGGCTCATCCGGAAGGGCGATTCAGGCGAAAACTTCGCCGTGTATATTCCAATTTCGCTCTTCCGATTGATCAAAGAGAAGTCAACATCGCCGATAAAATCTTAATTCCCAAATAGTAATTACTTAGCGATGTAAAGAGCAGAGATTGTATCCGCCCATATGACGACCGCTAATTGTCATTATCCAATCAGAGCGTCGCTTTATACTACCCTTCTACCTGTAAGCGAAGCGATAGACCGCCTACTCTAAACAGTAAATAATGAGAGCATCGGCCCGAAACGGTATATAGTTTTGCGAGTTTAATACGGGATTTGGCGATAATTATACATTGTTTTTTTCCCCGATTATCTAAACACGTGCAATCTTCCCTAATTGATATACACGATGCACTTCGATGGTGGGTTTTTAACCCGAGTAAAGGCGATGTGCAATGGATTTTTCACGGCTATCACAAAACTGTTAGTCAATTAAAAATAATCAATTTTATTAATGATCAGCGACCGGATTAAAAACTTAATCATAGTTTTGAATGATTTCAGTCTGTTAACATCAATTTTTACTGTAAATTGTCGCTCACGTCATGGCTACAAGGCGAAATGCCGAAACCGAGCAGTAAGAAAGTTACTGATTCTGATAGTTACACCTACGCAAAAATTTAAAAAGCAATCTTGCGAATGATATGTTGTAGACAGTGGGGGTGTTTGACATTGTTCTCTTTGTAGAAATGCCAAATTTGACACAGTTTACGCACGTGGGTAAGATATCCCGGCTAAACTACATATCGGTCGTATATCATGACAACAAAATTTGTCAGGAAAGAAGTGTTCCTATTGTTTCAATATATATATTTGTTTTAATGTCGTAAATATGATGCTCAGATTAAGATTTATCAATATTGTAAATTTTAAAAAGCATTATTTATAAAGATATTACCGAATTTAACGTTTCATGAAAATAAAGGGAGGTAATTAGAAATTAATTTTCTACAATTTCTCAGTCAAATTTTTCAATAAGAAATGAATGTATGTAATTTTAGTGATCAAATATAATGTGCACAAATGTTTGCAGTACATATTTTACATATTCTTTGATGTTTGAAAATTGTTTTATAAGCATAATTATATGCATATAATCGTGACATTACAACATTCTGTACATTGTAAGAAATTTCTGTTACCAGAACAGAATAGAATAGATATTATTAGTCAATATCCAATGTGACTTCATCTTCCCTTAAAGGTGAGGAAAGTATTAAAAGTAAAAAATATGAAATTGATTTTATCATCATATCTTTTTGTACACATTATTATCAACAAATGTACATGAAAATATATAAACACATATTTAGAGAAAGCTTATAAATAGCTGATCAATAGATATCAAAAATAATTTTTTATGTTCATATTTGCAGCTCAAAAACATTTAGATGCCATTGCCAGATCTACTACTAAATAATTAATCTACTTTTAATTTATACTACCATGAATTAATCTACTATTAATAAATAAACTGGAGAAATATTATAAGTGATGTTAATTGTGTTTATATTATAATTAAAGGATGTATAGCCATGCATGTTAATGCATACACATTGGGTTGTTTCCCTTCTCCCTAATTTTTGCGAGGTCGTCACTTCTCCCTAAAATTTCCCCCCAGGATGAGCCCTGTAAAGGATCCCCCAATTCATGGGCCATCATATACTAATTGACACCTACCACAAGGCAATTTACCGCAAATCGATTTCCCACATGGTACCAGACATTACATCATTTTAAATACCATGATTACGATTTGTTCTGGGCCCCAAATCGATTTCCCACATGGTACTAGACATTACATCATTTTACCATGATTACGATTTGATCTGTGCTGCAGCAACTTACACCGGGATAGATCCTTCAACCATCCCGCCAAATTACCTTGTGGCTCCCAAAACCAATAAACCACCTTATGTGAGTGATCAGTCTATGGAATGCAATCAGCTAAACTATCAGATAAATTAAATTACCCCATGGTAGTTCTTCTCTCATTAACCACCAGATAAATTTAATTACCCCAATGGCGGTTCCTATCTGCAGCTACCCTCACCCCCACCATCTCTAACTGGAAAGAGGTTGAGCTTTTCCTGCTGCTACCCTTACCCCACCAGTACTAATTGGTAAGAGGCAGGCTTTTATTCCCTAAGACTTATTCCAACTACAAGGAATTTCCCTCAAGTTGATTTCCTACATGGCACCCTGGATCCAAACACCATGATTACAACCTGATTTTCCCCCAGATCGATATCCTACATTTTATTCTATCCAATTCCCATCCCCCTTTGGGATTAGAAGAACCACACATTAGAATCAACATGATATCGACCCAACCTTGTAGTCTTAAAACACCTAAAAGCATTTTATAAACTTTTAGGGCTACCCTTTGACCTTAGCTTAGTCAACTGTGAAAGCCTTCTCAAACTTATTTTCAAGTTCCACAACAGCCTCCATCACAGTTTCCCAAGTCACAGAAGAGTTATCTTCAGAAGACTGAACTTCGTAACTATCAGTACTGACTGAAGAAACCCTCTTTCCTTCATACCTTTCACTGCGTTTGCTCCTACCAAAAATGGCCTCATGGCTCTGTTGGTACTTACGGACCAATAATTTGGCTTGTCAGACTGTGGATGAATCATGCATGTAAACATTGAACCCAGCTTGTTGGTCTAATAAACCATGGCAAAACCTACTTATAACCTGACTTGTTATAAATTGGGCACCCCCTGAAAGGCTTTATCGGCTAAGGCACATAACCTGTCTGCAAAATCATCAAGAGATTCGCCCGGGTTTTGAAAAGCTTGATAAAATTGCCCTTGAGCTGCCTCTGGTGAGATTTGGTCACCAAACCCAGCCTCCAGTTTATCGTATAAAGAAGCATACGATTGCACTTCACCACTTTTATGTAAAATTACATAATAATCTAAAGCTTTGCCCTCTAACGTCCAGCACAACGCACACAGTTTATCCTCATTTGACCACTGGCACATCTCAGCATATCTGGAAAACTTAAAAATGAAAGCTTCCCAACTGCCATTGCCATCAAATGTTAAATTCGTGGGCATTTTATCTAACGATAGTCTTGACCTGGCTGTTACAGGATAAACTGGTTCCCATCCCCCATGAGATAATGGCTCAAACTCATTATCCCCCAATGAGGTGGTCCCCTGTTCTTTCCATAGAGACCGCACAGACCTAAAATCAGCAGGAATAGCCTTGGGAACCCTAGGTGTGGTAAACATATGCCCATTATACCCCATGCTATCCCCACCCATCACAGGTCTACCTTCTCTAGGCCCAAATACTGAAGTGCTTTTCACCCCGGCTGACCCTCTAGCAACATCAGGCTTTACTGCCCCAGGCTTTGGTTCCGAAAAGTCTGAAAATGACTGATCCAAGGACCTAAATGACTTATCCAAGGACCCTTCCCCTTTAGAAGCTTCAGTATGATGCTCTAAAGCCTCCTCATTCCTAGGGGATTCTTCCAAAGCCTCATTTGGTGAAAAATCTATCACATCTAATTCCTCACCTGTAAACTTTTTACAACATATTGCAGACAATATGTCGGCTGTGATATCACCGCCAGCCCCCCTTATATATAGGAGAATAGCAGCAACCTTCTTACTAACCCCCGGAATTTTAACCAACTCGTCCTCAGAAGCAAAATTAATCGCAACCTAAGATTTATTGGTGTGGGGGCCTTTTGTGTCTGACCTATCCATTGCCATTGCCATATTTATAATTACTTATTACAATATTTTTATTACAAATAATTAAAAATATCACGCAATTACAGGTCGTGCAAAGTACCACTTAACCGTTACTGTAAACCAATTTCCGAAATAAGATTTATTTTTTTCCACACCTACACAATACTATAATATTGTGCCTTACAGTAACTATTATTAACAAATTATAAGGGGAAATTAAATTTTTATTCAACATGTAATTGAAATAGAACAATGTATTTGTAATGGCTGAAACTATGCAACATAGCATGGTATACATTAATGTTGTTAATGTTTGTAACCTGTTCATAATATTTCTATTTTCAGTATGTAGAAAACAGTAGTTCAGCTGAGGAAAGTGATGGGTCTGAGGAGGAAAGTACTCCAATGAGAGTAACGAGAAGATCTTCAGGTATTATAAAAATGTTTCAACATTATGAACATATAATTGTCAGGGATTTTTTATGCCCCCCGCCATATAATGGCAGGGGCATATAGTGTTACCCTGTTCCGTCCTTCCGTCATCATCAGTTTCCGTTCATTATCTTAATAACCGTTGCACATATTGAACTCAAATTTGACATATAGATGGGATCACCTAAAACCTGTGACAATATCTAATTCCGTGACGACCGTGACGACATAAATCCATGACATGTACCTAAAATCCGTGTCACACTAAATTTACCGTGATATATAATGCAAGGCACTAAATACCGTGACAAACTATATTCTCCGTTATTCGTCTGTCATGAAGGGTAGCTAAAACCCGTGACGATGCAACTAATCCTTATGATAAATAATCATTCTTTTTTTTTCTTCATTTAATGAAAACATAACATTATGACATGTGATGAATTAAGGGAAATGAGTAAAACAAGTGACGATAAATAACAGTATTAAATTCATTTCAAATTTAAACTATATATTATACATTGTACATTACATGCGTTTTTTTCGTCGTATGTTTCTCTTTTGGGGGTGTGTACATTTTGTACAGAAATATGGAATGTCATCACCAGGAATGTCATCTTTTTGTAGACCCTCACATTCTGGATGGTACCATATTTTGCATTTATTGCAAACAACATACAAACCATCTTCTGGCATTCGGCAAGAACAAAACACCTTAAGAAATGCCGTGTATCTGACACCATTCGGGTGCTCGAGCGACCGGGTGCCAGCGGGAAATGGTACAAGCTTACCCTTTTCCAAACATTGAATCAGGTGACCACGAAGCAGTTCTACGTCATACCTTTGGGTGCAGGGATCTATACCGTTGGCTTCCGCAGTTGCGTTTGCAATTGCATAGAGACCACAGTCATTGCCGTTTTCCTGGAATGCACAGTCTATAAAATTCAACACTATTTTATCATTCTTTTTTGGTGGGGTATCTTTTCTAAGTAAATTGCAAATAACTTGCTGGGTAGAAAAACTTAGTGATGTGAAACCTGAATCATAAATTTTTCCTTCCGACTTGTTATTTGTTTTCATAGTGGATAATATCAGCCAATGTGACCCACCCTGTTCTGGCATTCTGTTGACGATCTGAATGAAATTTCCAAAAGCACGAGTAAACGTTAGAGTTGCTGCATTAAGGCAACTGTCCAGCCCCCATATATGTGGGAACTGTGTCTTTAGAAGAGACATCGCCGCATCAATCAACCGATCATTTAACCACTCTGTTGGTGAATACAGGATACTTTTTTCTTCGTCCTTAAGTTTAATCTGCCCAATATCTAGCCATTCTGGTCCACTTACCGATGTGTTGGACTGTACTGGCTCTCCTGGTTCAATATTCTGTTCAATATATGCCGCTTTCCCGTGGATCCGATACCTTAACGGCTAATATGGCGCATGCGCAGTTCGTGTCACTATTTTTGTGACCTAATTTTCATTTTCAGCCACAGAAACTACTAAACAGAAATAAAACAGAATGAAAACACCAAAACTATGTTGATTTGTTGAAATATTTACCTCAAAGTAATTACTGCCCTTGAATCTTTGTCATAGCAGACGCTTCTCATCGATCCGATACTCTATTGGTCTCAGTGTAAAAAGAGCTATAAAGGTGGACAACTTTTGGTGAACTACAGGTGTGCTTAAAATTTCAGTCCTGTTATGTCATTTCAAGAAAAAATGTGCACATGGCAAGGGAGCTGTTCATTAAAATTACTAAATTAACATGTCAACTGTTCTCAAAACAAGAATATAAAACAAGTATTTTTTAACAAATAAACACATAAGTCAACACTTAAACTTGTGTAACAGTAACTATAAACCAATGAATTATATAAGCCCATGTAATAATTTTGAGATCAGGATGATCATTGTGATTAGGTGGGGACCACTTTTTACAGACACAACATAGGTCTTCATCTGCAATTTGTTCATCAAACTCAGAATCGCTATTTTCATCATCCACATGTACAGGTATTGCTTGATTTGATTTACATGTTCCACTAGTTGATGGCTTCGGGCTTCCAAATTTGAGTGATTTTTTAGGATTGGCATTTTTCTTAGATTTATGTTTCTTTTTTGGAGTTTCATTTTCCTTATCTTCTAAATCAGTATGAGATGATGGTGCTGTCCCTTTCAATCCCTCTTGGTATTCTTCTAGTTCTTTCAAATAGCTGTCCTCTGTAATTGCTCTCCCACTAGGTTTAGGTTTCTTCATTTTCTTCTTCACCTCAACACTACCATTGCACTTTTGACATAGGTTGTTGACATTTTCAATTGTCTTTGTACTTGTAGACTCTGTTTTCTTTTGTAAGAACTCTTCAACAGCCTCTTTCCCGTGCCTTAGCGCTTTCACTTTTTTAACTGGTTCTTCTTCCCTGAAGCCTTCAGCTGGAAAAAGCTTTTCCATTGGAACTACATCCTTAGACAAAGGATAAATACCTGTCTTCCGGAATCCAGCTTGAATGTTAATAGGTGTCATCGCCTTCAAGTACGCCTTACATGCTATTTGACACATGTCATATCTGGTGATAACCTGTCCAATATTCTTCTGCATGAAGGAGGAACATTCTGAGTAGTAGAATGTCTTGAATGGGCCAAAAAGTGAAACATCCAATGGTTGAAGAAAATGTGATGAGTGAGCTGGTAAACAGAAAAGAATCAAATTTCGAGATCTTGTCCACTTAATTAAACTTGGTGAAATGTGTAAAGAATGACCATCAAACAACAGAAGAATCACTTGTGAATCATCAGTCCCTGACCTTGCATATGGGAGAAAGTGCTCCTTAAGATATGTTGAGAACAGCTCACCATTCGACCATCCTGAATCAGACATCTCCCCTCTTGCACCAAAGGTTGCTCCATTCATCAAGTCACTATTAAATCTTTTTCCTTTGAACACAAAGAAAGGTGGAACAGTATTACCAATGGCATTGACACAACCAATGAGTGTTGTTGTGGTAGAGCGTGGTGAAGTTACTGCCTGTGGTTTACAATCTAAAGATGATATGATGTTTGGTGGCCTATGATCTGGTTTAAGTCCTGTTTCATCAAGGTTGTATATGTGCTGTGGCTTATCAAGTAGATCATACTTGACCAGAATATCATTCAGGTTTTTGTAGTAGTGGGCAACAGATTCAGGGGTACAGTATCTTGCACGGTTGCTATCCAAACTACTTGGAGATAGGGATGCTAAACGGGTTTTCCACCTATTTAAAAAACCATACAACCAGTTGTTGCTCATGGGTTTGTTTTTCTCTTTCTTTCCCATATCAAAAGCCAGTTCACGTGCTATCTGTTGCAGCTTAGTGTTGGTATAACCATAGCCAAGAAGACTCATTGCCTCTAAATGCTCCACAAGAACCTCCTCCTCCTCCTTACTAAGTGTAGTAATACCCCCATGGACAAAATTATTAGCATCAACACGACCATCAACACGATCTCTTAAGGTGGTTAATGGGACACCAAACAGTCTTGAAGCCCTTTTCACAGGTAACTTTTTGTCTTTCACTGCCTCATATGCTTTCAGAAGGGACTCAGGTGAATATCTACAGTATCTTCTGTCAATCTTGATTGGCTTTACCTAAACATAGGTTATAAAAGGCTTTGATAATGAAAACAAGCATTATTTTTTTAATTGGTTTTTAATTGGGATCTATCTATGAAAGGCTTTCAGTTCAATGGGCTCTATCACATGATAACAAAAAAAGTGGTCCAAGTTTTTTGGCACATACTGTATCACTAAAGCTTTTCGTGACTCAGATCAAAGGGAAGTAACTTTGCAGAGTAAAATAAGCAGACATATATTTTGGTTATTTATGATAAAAGAGGAATTATTGAAGGTGTTTAACATTATTTTCATGCAAAAACATGTTTTAACTATTGCTGGATATGATTTTACCTGTTTTTTACGCATGATTTATGTGTTTATTGATAAACGCTTGTCCGACGTAAAACTTGCATATAGTTCGGATGTATTCCTTGGCGTCACGAGCTCGTATTCGGTACGGAAAATGACGTATCGGATCCACGAGAAGTATCGAATCGATGAGAATAAGGCATATATAGTATACGATGGTTCTTCCGGCGGCTGAGTCGTCACGGATTTTTCCTCATGGTCCCGAGTTGGTAATGTCACGGGTGAATCTAATTTCCGTGACGATTGATTCGATACGGGTTTTTCGACTTCATCCGTTACGGGTGACTGTAATTTCCTAGATGGCTGTATTGTCACGGGTTTTTCAACTTCATCTGTCACGGGTGACTGTAATTTCCGAGATGGCTGTATTGTCACAGGTTCTTCAATTCTCTGTGAATTTTTGTCAGGGGAAATTATGTAATCAAAATCATCTTGTCTAGGTCGTTTTCTTCCTGCTTTTTTCTTTTCATCTAAACCTCTAAGTGTTGTTAGGTTGGGTTTTGTTTTCAAGTTCACTTCCATACCTATAGATTTCTTAACAGCTATTAAATGATAGCAATGCGTGTTTCCACACGAACATGACTCGGGGAATAGTGTTACAACCTGAGCCTTGTCATCTTGTCCTTATATTGTAAATGTACCTAGCCTTGGAGCGAAAACGATTCTGTCATTTTTTATAAGTTCATCGGCGCATGAGAAGTTAATATCAATCTTTGGGATATTTGGTTCTGGATGTGCGTCATTTTCTGCATTAGAGACAAATTGGTTTTCACGAATGCCATTTATAATATCTTCTGGTTATGAAACTGTAAATTGGATAATTTCTGAGAGATCAATTTTAGCTGAAATTTATTGAGGTTTTATAGTGTAGGTACCAATGCCTGCGTGACCACGAGAAATTTCTTTAAGATAATATTGATGAAGACTTAGAAATGACAATACTACCACATCTGCTGGGGCTTCTTTCCATTTATTGAGTTGTTTAAATACTTTGTTCATACTTTCGCTCTGATTTTGAGTTATGCCACTGTATGGGTCGTACTTTGTAATTTTTTCTATTGCCCATTTTGAAACCTTCCCAAGTTGAGGTAATATTCTTTCTTCAAAATACTTTCGAAATTGTTCATCCCAGGCTGTATTAAACCGCGGATTTTTGCGTGGAAGACCCACAGTGCCTTGGTTTATCCAATGATGTCCGTCAGCTCGCCAATCCTGTGCTTTTAGACTGTCCCCTTTAAAAATCCACGTTTCGCCACCTCTTGGTCTAAAAGGAAGCGCCGATATCGGCGGTTCGGACCGTATAAGCCGTAGAATTTGGTCTGTACTCAATGACATTTAATTCTATGTTTCTACCATCTTTACTGACGTCGTTACTAAGTCAATCACGTGACGTTATTGTAATATAAAGTTGTGATCGCAACGTGATAGTAATGTAAATTAAAAGATAAAACTAAAATAATCATTCATAAAATCAAATAAAATCTTTAGTATCTTATATTTAAATAAATAATCTAACTTAACAAAATAACAAAACCCGTGACATAACCCGTGACAGTAAATTATATTTTCCGTGATGATGCCGTCACGGGTTTTAGTATATCTGCATATAGATATGTCATGAGAAAATACAGGTCAAGTTCGAAATTGGTCATGGTTCGATGATTTTTGGCAGAGTTATGCCCCTTTTACGTTGAAAATAATATGAAATTTTCAGTTTCCGTTCATTATCTCCCCAACGGTACAACACATTCAACTCAAACTTGACATATGGATATGTCATGAGAAAATACAGGTCAAGTTCAAATTTGGTCATGGTTCGGTGATTTTTGACAGAGTTATGCCCCGTTTACTTTGAAAATAATATGAAATTTTCAGTTTCCGTTCATTAACTCCCCAATGGTACAACACATTCAACTCAAACTTGACATATGGATATGTCATGAGAAAATACAGGTCAAGTTCGAATTTGGTCATGGTTTGATGATTTTTGGCAGAGTTATGCCCCTTTTACTTCGAAAATAATATGAAATTTTCAGTTTCCGTTTATTATTTCCCCAACAGTATTACACATTCAACTCAAATTTGACATATTGATACGTCAAAGGAATGCGCAGGTCAAGTTCAAATTTGGTCATGGTTCGATGATTTTTGGCAGAGTTATGCCCCTTTCACTTTAAAAATAATATGAAATTTTCAATTTCCTTTTATAATCTCCCCAACAGTATTACACATTCAACTCAAATTTGACATATGGATATGTTTTTGGAATGCGCAGGCCAAGTTCGAATTTGGTCATGGTTCAATGATTTTTGGCAGAGTAATGCCCCTTTCACTTTGAAAATGATATGAAATTTACAGTTTCTGTTCATTATCAACCCAACAGTGTTACATATTCAACTCAAAATTGACATATGGATATGTCAAAGGAATGCGCAGGTCAAGTTGGAATTTGGTCATGATTCGATGATTTTTTGGCGGAGTTATGTCCCTTTCACTTTGAAAATAATATAGATACATCTTAGGAATAAGCAGTTTAAGTTTGAATTTGGTTGTGGTTCAATGATTTTGGACAAACTTATCTTTCCTGAGTGTTGGAAAAATTTTGAACTTTCAGTTTCAGCACTCATACTTTTGTGGAAATGTATATAGCCATTATTTTGGCTACAAAATTAATATGCAATATGCTATTTTCAAAACGTTAAGACTGAATAATTTCAGTGCCTTGAACATTGTATAAAAATGGTTTGTGTTAACATTGAAAAGTTTTAAGGTTTTTGAACTAAGAATGAATTTGTGCAAACAAATTTGGAACTAAATATTATAACATTTGAAATTTTGGCTGCATGCGGGGGCATCCGTGGCATGATGACACATTTCTAGTTTGTAATTTATTCATAGCTGATCAGGATCCATGCAGTTCGCTATCTGAGTTTCTCTACTTGTAATAAAGTTGGTAAGCGAACAGCATGGATCCTGATCAGACTGCGCGGATGCGCAGGCTGGTCTGGATCCATGCTGGTTGCAAACCCATTATGTTGGTTTTGTCGTGACATGGCTCAAATTATGTTTTCTTCCATTTCTTAGAAATAAAAAGAGTCATAGTAATAGATGTTAAAAGGTGTGCATACTTCGGGTAGGGACAATGTTGTTGTATATAAACCTAGATAATATTGGTGAACACAAAAAAAAGAACTGTAAACAATAATCTTGATTTCCATGCATTTTTACGGAATCTCAAACATATTGATACATAACATTACTTTCACTTTGGTAGACTATGTATTAAGCTTATACTGAAAAACATTTTTTGCTATATATATATATATATAAAACTGTTGTCACTTTTATCATTTGTAGGTCAATGCTCAAATAACCCAAAAATAAGTTTCTTAGTAAAATTTCTGGAAACAAAGTAACATTATTTCATGTTAATGAACCTATAAATGTAATCAATGGAACATATACCAAGATGTTTCTCTGAACACAGAACAAGTGGCTTTGATATAATTCTTTCATACATTTAATTTAGTTTTAATGAAAGAATTGTTATTTTGTAAGTTAATATTCATATAAAGTGTAAAATAATGTAATATAGAAAATGAGGCCAGTGATACCAAGATTACCTATAAAAGTGACTATAATTATAATTATGCCCCCATTTCGAAGAAAAGGGGGTATATTGCTTTGCACTTGTCGGTCCGTCGGTCCGTAGACCAAATGGTTTCCGAGTGATAACTAAAGAACCCTTAGGCCTAGGAACTTCAAACTTGGTATGGTGATTGGTCATGACCAGTAGATGACCCCTATTGATTTTGGGGTCAAGGGGTCAAAGGTCAAGGTCACATTGACCTTGAAAGCAAAAACGGTTTCCGATCAATAACTAAAGAACCTTAAGGCGTAGGAACTTCAAACTTGGTATGGTGATTGGTCATGATCAGTAGATGACCCCTATTGATTTTGGGGTCAAAGGTCAAGGTCACATTGACTTTTTAAGCAAAAACGGTTTCCGATCAATAACTAAAGAACCTTAAGGCCTAGGAACTTCAAAATTGGTATGGTGATTGGTCATGATCAGTAGATGACCCCTATTGATTTTGGGGTCAAGGGGTCAAAGGTCAAGGTCACATTGACCTTGAAAGCAAAAACGGTTTCCGATCAATAACTAAAGAACCTTAAGGCCTAGGAACTTCAAACTTGGTATGGTGATTGGTCATGACCAGTAGATGACCCCTATTGATTTTGGGGTCAAGGGGTCAAAGTTCAAGGTCACATTGACCTTGAAAGCAAAAAACGGTTTCCGATCAATAACTAAAGAACCTTAAGGCGTAGGAACTTCAAACTTGGTATGGTGATTGGTCATGATCAGTAGATGACCCCTATTGATTTTGGGGTCAAAGGTCAAGGTCACATTGACTTTTTAAGCAAAAACGGTTTCCGATCAATAACTAAAGAACCTTAAGGCCTAGGAACTTCAAACTTGGTATGGTGATTGGTCATGATCAGTAGATGACCCCTATTGATTTTGGGGTCAAGGGGTCAAAGGTCAAGGTCACATTGACCTTGTAGGTAAAAACGGTTTCCAATCAATAACTAAAGAACCTTAAGGCCTAGGAACTTCAAACTTGGTATGGTGATTGGTTATGACCAATCAGATGACCCCTATTGATTTTGGGGTTAAGGGGTCAAAGGTCAAGGTCACATTGACCTTGTAGGTAAAAACGGTTTCCGATCAATAATGAAAGAACCCTTAGGCCTAGGGACTTCAAACTTGAGATGGTGATTGGTCATGATCAGTAGATGACCCCTATTGATTTTGGGGTCAAGGGGTCAAAGGTCAAGGTCACATTGACCTCTTAGGTAAAAACGGTTTCCGATCAATAACTAAAGAACCCTAAGGCCTAGGAACTTCAAACTTGGTATGGTGATTGGTCATGACCAGCAGATGACCTATTGATTTTGGGGTCAAGGGGTCAAAGGTCAAGGTCACATTGACCTTGTAGGTAAAAACGGTTTCCGATCAATTTACTAAAAACGCTTAGGCCTAGGAACTTCAACCTTTGTGTGATGAATGGTCATGACCAGCAGATGACCCCTATTGAGTTTTAGGTGAAGGGGTCAAAGGTCAAGGTCACATTGACCTTGTAAGTAAAAACGGTTTCTGATCAATAACTCAAGAACACTTAGGCCTAGGAACTTCAAACTTGGTATGGTGATTTGTCATGACCAGCAGATTACTCATATTGATTTTGGGATTAAGGGGTCAAAGGTCAAGGTCACAATGACCTTGTAAGTAAAAACGGTTTCTGATCAATAACTAAAGAACGTTCGTCCTAGGAACTTCAAACTTTGCATGCTTATTGGTCATGACCAGCAGATGACCCCTATTGATTTTGGGGTCAAAGATCAAGGTCACATTGACCTTGTATGTTAAAACGGTTTTCGATCAATAATAAGAGAACCTTTAGGCCTAGGAACTTCAACCTAGGCATGGTGATTGGTCATGACCAGCAGATGACCCTATTGATTTTGGGGTCAAGGGGTCAAAGGTCAAGGTCACATTGACCTTGTAGGTAAAAACGGTTTCTGATCAATTTACTAAAAACGCCTAGGCCTAGGAACTTCAAACTTTGTATGATGATTGGTCGTGACCAGCAGATGACCCCTATTGAGTTTTGGGTCAAGGGGTCAAAGTCATGACCAGTAGATACTTTATAACCCTTATTAATTGTTTGATCACTGGGTCAGAAGTCATGCATTATAACCTTATCACATGACTAATTGGCTGCTGATAGGGGGCATACATGTTTTACAAACATATCTTGTTATTATTCATTTTCAGTCAATCCGGTCATAAATACCCCAACAGGCAACAGTTCTACAGCACCTAAGGTAAAGAAAAGAAAGTTGTCTGGATCATCAACAGTAGAACCAGTAGAAGTAGCACCGAATACTGAAATTGAATCTGATGCAGAGTCTGAATCATCGGCCGTTACTCCACGTACAACAAGATCAAAGGCTAAAGAGTCTCCCGAGACGAAATCAAAAGACAAAAGTGCAGTAGTCTCAAATACAAAATGTAAGACCAAAGAGTCTATTGAAGGTTCTGAAAAGACAGAAAAAATAAGTAAAAGCAAAAGTGTTATTAAAGACACAGATTCAGAAATTGGGGAAACAGATAATAAAAATAAGACACAAACAAGTGCGGACACAATCTCAGAATGTGGGGATATAGAGAAAGAAAAAGCGAAGACAAATCGATCTAAATGTGGAAAAGCGGGTAAGGCTGGGAAAGGCAAGTGTAAGAGCAAGTCGGTAACAAGTAAGAGCCCAGAGGATCCTTTAATGGCCGAGTGGGCGGATAAGCGACCAACACCATCCATGGACTATAATGAAACAAATGCTAAATGTCCTCTGCCAGGTTGTGATTCTAAAGGTAAATTTGAAAGTGTTATAAGGCTGGCACCACAATAGATATTGGTTTGAGGATGTTTGTCAACCTGGTTGTCTGGCCCTCTATGTTTGCATCTTCTTTTAAACCAGGGGTCAGTGTCGACATCACTGTCACACTTTGGTTAATTTTTTGCATGTAAGTTGGTGTCTTCAAAACTACTGAAGAGAATGGGTTGAAACTTATTTGAGAGAGGTCGTCACTGTCCAAGGCCCATAACTCTAACATGGATTTTAAATATGAGAATTTTGTCCCTTTCTGAACTTAAAAAAAATCTTCATGATCTAAGCTCTTGTTTCACTATCAAATACTGAGAATAGTTGAGTATGCTGTTCAACTGACGGCTCTTATTCATTTTTATGTTTATACCAGGGCTGTCATAAGGTCATTTTGGCAAGTTGCTGTCTGCCATTTTTAATCGCACATAGGGAAAATATTCAGTAATGGCAAGTGTTGTGCGATTTTATCTGTTTACACAAATGTTTTCTCTTCTGCATGGGCATTATTTATGCATGCATGATTACTTATTATTTACCTTATGCCATCAGAAATAAAGGAAATGGAACATTCTATTTGTATTTGTGTACCATTGTTATAAATTATAGGCATAGTAATCTCTGATTCAAGGAACAAAAGTCCTGATCTTACTGAAGAACATTATTGCAACCTTAGAAAAAAAAAATTAAAAGATGAAAAATTTATATTAATTACATGAGAATTGATAATTACCTTAAATGCAAACTTTTTAGGGCTATGAATGTGCTTGTTATTTACTTTGTCTTTTGTAGGTCATCTTACAGGAAAACATGAATCACACAGGACATTGTCTGCATGTCCTCTATATCACAATACAACAGCACAGGAATGTAAGGTAAGTGGTTATTATTTTATTTCCAATTGGATTAAAAACTCGTTTACACTAGAAAGTTATATGGTCAGTTTTAATTTGTATTGGAACCGGGAACTTGTATTATGGGTGTTTGGGGGGGAAATAATTTCAGCTATGTTGACTATTACAGGGCTGGCAAAATCTGATTTTGACTTACTTTTCAGTTTTACCTGTTAAAGCATTTCTTTACTTGTCCGTATGATACTTATAAAGAAAATGTTGGAAAAAATTCATTTGTTCATACAGGCTGTACTACAACCTAGGCAATACGGACAATTAATTTTGCCACTGCTGCTATTTTCATCCAAAATTTGTGCTACTGGTATAAAAAGAAACTGAAAGTCATAAATTTGCAAAGAAATTAATTAATTACTGGGTAATTATCCAGTCATTTGCAGAGAAATTGATAATTGATAATTACTGGTTAATTATCCAGTCATTTGCAGATAATTGATAATTGATAATTACTGGTTAATTATCCAGTCATTTGCAGAGAAATTGATAATTACTGGATAATTAACCAGGAAGGCCATAATAAGTTGACTGATTGCCTAGATACGGGAATAAAAAATGTTTTAGAATAGCCTCATTATAAGTGATATTTAAGTACTTAAGATATATAAGTATTAATGGTTGATTTGATTACAGGACAGATATGATGAAAGACAGAAATCTGCTGATGAAAGACAACTCTTCATTAATTCACTCACAGATAGAAAGGGTCTACGCAGACAGGTAAAAGATTGAACTTTTTCTTAGTGTTTAATTAAGATTAGATGTTTTACACACAGTGTATTGTTTAATCATGTTACGCTATTATGCCACTCTATTTACATAAGTATATGGGTAAATTGTCCAGCTACATTCGGTGCTTATTAACTTTTGTCATCAGAAACCTCTTTAGTTGTAGGAGATATTTTTATTGTATGTACATTCAGGTTTATCATTTACATGCTCAAATTAACTGTTTAACTTTAACTTTAAGTATCACATGTTAAAGTTAAAACAGCTTTAATATCTTCTGTTTGTTAATATATCACATGCTAAAGTCAATGTAGCTGTGGCATATCTTGTTGCTTTGGCATATCTTGTTGCTGTAGCATATCTATTTGCTGTAGCATGTCTTGTTGCTGTAGCTTATCTTGTTGCTGTAGCATATCTATTTGCTGTAGCATATCTTGTTGCTGTAGTATATCTATTTGCTGTAGCATGTCTTGTTGCTGTAGCATATCTTGTTGCTGTAGCATATCTTGTTGCTGTAGCATATCTTGTTGCTGTAGCATGTCTTGTTGCTGTAGCATATCTATTTGCTGTAGCATGTCTTGTTGCTGTAGCATATCTTGTTGCTGTAGCATATCTTGTTGCTGTAGCATATCTTGTTGCTGTAGCATGTCTTGTTGCTGTAGCATATCTTGTTGCTGTAGCATATCTTGTTGCTGTAGCATGTCTTGTTGCTGTAGCATATCTTGTTGCAAATGTATCACATGCTAAAGTCATAGTAACTCTAGCATCTTATCTTTGTTACAGCATGCTAATGATGATCAGAAAGCTAAATTAGAAATAATAGAGAAGGCAAGGAAGAACATTCCAGAGGAGACCGATGAAATCAAGGCATCACATAAAGAACATTCAGACAAATATGAGAAGTCCAGACAACCGTTACTAAATGGTTTAGCCTCGGAATACGATCTAAAACTATTTTACGACGCCCAGGCTAGAGCATGTGAACAGCGTGTAAGTATAATTGTGATAATGGGTCAGATCAAAGTCTGCCTGCTTTGTTTAATTGGGAGAGGATTTTATTTTTATTACATGCTTTTCGGTGGTTTATAGAAATATATCAGTGATATAAAACTGGTAATTTCACTGTTTGAAACAGTGAAATTACCACTTTGATAATTTCACTGTTTTGAATTTAAGCCCCTTACGTTGTTTCAGTGAAATACCAGCGTGGGCAGTACTGGGTACCAACTTGATGACGTGACGTCGTAAATGACGTCACGTTGTATTATTATTTGGCGCGCTTTTCATTCAGTTTTAGGTTGCGCCACTCGTGAAATATACCTTTTGGTGCTCACTCGGTGAAATATATTCCGATCTTACACTGAACTAAACATATATCCTCTATATAATCCAGGGATCGCTGATTGATCCTTGCGAGAGGAGACATTTCCATGTGACATTTGATCTCAGATATTGAGTCTCATGGTCATTTGTCTCTCACTGCTGATTTAAAAATCATGCAGGATTAGTAGTATGGTCACTTGTTGAGAAATTTATATTTTTACTGGGTAGTTGTCCAGAAAAAACAGCTAGGTGGAAAAACAGCCATGGAATTATTAAAATTGTCAGATCAGCAGTTTATAGTACTGTGTGTGTGGATTATTCTTGTCTGGTTTAGTACTATTTGCAATGATAAAACTTTTAAATCATTTAAAGATCCTGTATGTTTTGTGATTGATATTGTTACTGTGTGTATACCACACTTGCAAAAAATTATATATGTATATAATTATGCAAATAAAACAATGTTCAAACATCGAAGAGTATGTAAAATGTGTACTGCAAATATTTGTGCACATTATATTTAATCAATAAATTACATGCATTCATTTCTTATTGGAAAATTTTACTTAGAATTTATAGAAAATAAATTTCTAATTACCTCCCTTTATTTACATGAAATGTTAAATTTGGTATTATCTTTATAAATAATGCTTACTGGAACTTACAATATTGACAAATCTTAATTTGAGCATCATCTTTATGAAATAATTCCATGAAAAAATTGTGTTACAGGATCTTTAAATGGAATGTGTCTAATGAATGTTAAGGTCACAAAGATATTAATTGTTCAGCTCTAAAGCTGGTATTTCTACAGTGATAATGTAATCATTTGGCACAGATGATAAACACTCATTTAGATCTATGCGCAGAAGTAACACAGATAATTGTCAAAGATTATTGCGTCTTTCTGTGACTGTAGGAATTAGAATCTTGCAGGATTTTTGTAATGAGTGACTTCGGTTACATTTAAGTACCATTATTGAATATTCCACCTCCATAGCTCAATAGGGAGACCATAGGATTAGTAATCCAGACTCTTTATTTGATCCTCAGGTGAGGAGATATTCTCAGTGATGTTTGATTAATTGTTCTTCGTACATTTTGTTTAATGATCATTTGTCCTTTACTGCTATTTTAGAAATCATGTGACGTTTTGGGAGACATTGGTAATAAATTCAGTATTGTCCAATAGATAGATCCACTGCTGAAATATGACCAAACAATGTCTTAGATAATAACTTTAGTGTAAAAATTAGAAATATGAACAAAACAAATTCTCAGTCTTGACAATATGTAAAAAATATCTTTGTTCAGTGTTGTTATACATCTATTTATAAAACACGATATTTGTTACAAATAAAGGAACATGAGATGAGCGTCCATTATCAGCGGTTTGACAACCAGGAGTATCGAATAAAGAAACTGGAGATCGGTCGATACGAGATGTCAACGTGGTACTCCAGCCCTTATCCCGACGAGTATGCTCGTCTGCCTAAAATCTACCTGTGTGAATTCTGTTTGAAGTATATGAAAACAGCAACCATATTGAGAAGACATGTGGTAAGGGTCTTATAATTTAAATTATAGTGTATTCTCTTTACAAGGGAAAGGTGATAGATATCCTCTTGCATTTAATACTCTTAATAAATAAAGGAGCTTAAATTGAATACACTCGTTATACCATTATATAGTGCACATGTTAAACATACTGATAATAACCATTCCAGTGGGTCATCTACTTCTTTGATTTTCCACTGGTCCTGTTGAATAAGCAAACAGCATGCTAATGATGATCAGAAAGCTAAAATTTTTCCTACATGTCCTGACGCAGGTTCTACCAGAAAATGCAAGCAGACGAGGAATTTTCGAAGTCTAAAAGAGGTTAAATTGATAGGCTAAATGTGTATGAAGTAATTATATCTTTTTAAGGCTAAATATGTATAAAGTATTTTGTTTTTACAGGCTAAATGTGTATGGAGACACCCTCCAGGAGATGAGATTTACAGAAAAAATAATATTTCTGTGTTTGAAGTGGATGGAAAGAAAAACAAGGTTTGTTTAATTGATTTACAGTTTAACTCTGTAAATATTCGGCATTGCATATTTTGCTGATGGCTAGAATGTTTCTCTCTTCAAAATTTTTTAAATGGGTGCAAATGTCACAGGATGATATTGTTAAAGACTGTTGAATGGACACACCAGACATGTTCAGCTTTATTCACATCAATTTTTGTCATTTCTGACAGATTAAAAGATAGATTAAGTTTGGATTTTCTCAAGATATTCGTCAGATTTGAAAAAAACATGTGGATACATATGCTAGGACATAACACAGAAAGTCCATCACTATGTTTGACAGTGTTACACTTGAGACTATTAATATGAGCCGCGTCACGACAAAACCAACATAATGGGTTTGCAACCAGCATGGATCCAGACCAGCCTGCGCATCCGCGCAGTCTGATCAGGATCCATGCTGTTCGCTTACCAACCCTATTGCAAGTAGAGAAACTAATAGCGAACAGCATGGATCCTGATCAGACTGCGCGGATGCGCAGGCTGGTCTGGATCCATGCTGGTCGCAAACCCATTATGTTGGTTTTGTCGTGACGCGGCTCATATGTAGTGTTGGAAATAGATCCCTTTGGTTATTATAGTAACTATTCATAAATCTTAAAGGTGTGTGAGAAGTCATAATTCCATTATATTGAGTGAGTAAATATTCTTTAGACCTTAAATCCATAGTAAACCAGAAACCTCAGTAAACTGGAATGATTGTCCTGATCTTTGTCCATTTTAGTGAATTTTATATGAAAAAAAAATCAGTTTTCACATTAGCAAAAAATTAGGCGGTGAAAAATCCTACTTTCACATTTGATAACCCTTACCTTGTTGAAAGCCAAATTGATTTGCTCTTGCTGCCAGTATAGAGTCATGTCAGTCTGACCTTAATGCACTCTTACCAACCTCTATACTGGTGTCTGACTATCTTAATATACTTCTTTATATCTCCAAAACTGATAATGAACAATTACTTAAATAGAAGCTTGACAGGTCCATTTAAGAATTGAGTAAGTTACGGGTAGAGTAAAGTCATATCATATCAGTGATTCATTGTTTTGTCTTTCAGGTATATTGTCAGAATTTATGCTTGCTGGCCAAGTTATTTTTAGATCACAAGACACTATATTTTGATGTTGAGCCATTCCTGTTTTATGTGATGACAGAAAATGATACACATGGTTGTCATATACTGGGTTACTTCTCCAAGGTGAGACATTAATGCTGTATAAGCTAGCTAGCTGCTGTCTGAAAATTAGGGAAAATATAAAAAAAAAAGTAAATCCAAAATAGCTGAGTGAAAGAAATATGTTTGAATGGTGCATGCATGTTAGTATTGATAAATTGTTAAAAGCCCTTGTTAAAATAGCAGCCTTATATTTTGTTCTGGAACATTTTTATTATATGCCCGAAAGATTTTCTGGCATATTATGTTATACCCCCTGGCGTCCGTCCGTCTGTACGTCCGTCCGTCCGTCCGTTAGCAATTTGGTTTCCGAAGCATAACTTAAGTTCCATATGGCCCACAATATTCAAACTTCATAGGATGATTGTCCATATTGGGTAGAAGACCCCTATTGATTTTGGGGTCACAAGGTCAAAGGTCAAGGTCACTATCGCCTTAAAACTGAAAACAGTTTCCGGAGCATAACTTAAGTTCCGTTTGGCCCACAGTGTTCAAACTTCATAGGATGATTGTCCATATTGGCTAGAAGACCCCTATTGATTTTGGGGTCACAAGGTCAAGGTCATTATTACTTTAAAACTGAAAACAGTTTCCGGAGCATAACTTAAGTTCCGTTTGGCCCACCATATTCAAACTTCATAGGATGATTGTCCATATTGGGTAGAAGACCCCTATTGACTTTGGGGTCAAAGGTCAAGGTCATTATTATTTTAAAACTGAAAACGGTTTCCAGAGCATAACTTAAGTTCCATTTGGCCCACAGTGTTCAAACTTCATAGGAAGATTGTCCATATTGGGTAGAAGACCCCTATTGATTTTGGGGTCACAAGGTCAAAGTCACTATTACCTTAAAACTGAAAACAGTTTCCAGAACATAACTTTAGTTCCATTTGGCCCACAGTGTTCAAACTTCATAGGAAGATTGTCCATATTGGGTAAAAGACCCCTATTGATTTTGGGGTCACAAGGTCAAAGGTCAAGGTCACTATTACCTTAAAACTGATAACAGTTTCCGGAGCATAACTTAAGGTCTATTTAACCCACAATATTCAAACTTCATGGGATGATTGTC